GTGTAAGGAACAGTAAATAGGTGTAGTGTGTGAGCGAATAGAGTTAATCACTACAGTGATAGAATTCAGGGACCTGTACAATGGGCTAAGATCCGGGAGATGTGTTGTGAAGTATTTACTGTTGTATAGATCAGCTATCATTTACACTAATATTAGAGTAGCACTCATATAACAAACTCTATGTGATCTGTCTGAGTAGGGGGTATAAAGCTTTAGGTAGTGTCCTAAAGGAAAGCAAGTGGCGTGGAGTTTGGAGGATTAGCAAAGCACTGTGGAGGAAAGGACAGGGAGAGCCTGTCTAATAATACAATATTACTACTCAAGACTGAGAAGCCTACACAGAAAGAGGAGTACAGAGACATTATTAAAATATAAAAGAAGTGAGAATAATGAAGAAAATATGCAACACCTCATGGCTTCTCTGCTACAGGAAGGTGAAATTTATCTCTCTGTCTCTATTGTTGAGATGCCCCCTCTTTGGGTCCCATTTTGGTCCTTTCACAGTTCCTAGTTGTTTGTGTCTCTTGTGGGTAAAAGGAAACAAAGCAACTAACAAACAATCAAACAAAAAGGCAGGAGAAGGGAGGCGAAAGTGATGAGTTTAAGAGGAAAGGATGAAGGACTAAAACAGGGAAAAAGAAAGGAGAGGAACAAAGTGTAGAAAGATAAAGCAGTGATAAAATTAAAAAATATATAAGATTACTAAACAAATGCACAAAAAAGTTACTAAAAAAAGGGGAAAAAAAACAAAACTAACAAACAACAACAAAAAAACAATAACAACAATAATAGAGAAACCCTTCCCTTGTTGGTTTCAAACTGTCCAGACTGGTTTTTCTGGTTGCAGCAGGATCTCTCTGTGGGCTGGGATGCTGGCACAAGTGTGTGCACCAGCCAGGCTACCAGATTGGGGTGTGGGCGCCCGCACACTCACCAGGCTTCTTGGGTCCCACGGGTTCTAGTAGGGTCCTTCCCAGTCTTGTGGCGGGACTTAACCGCTTCTGTGCCTGTGCACACCAGCCAGTTGAAACCGGCAAGGTGCTTCCCAGTTCTGTGTGGGGAACTCAGAGGCTTCTGCGCCTGTGTGCACCTGCCAAGCTGTCTGGAATCCGCCAAACGGGCAGGGTGCTTCCCAGTCCTGTGGCGAGTCCCCAAATGCCTCCGCTTTTCCCTGGCTCACTGCAAGGCCGGGTGGGAAGCAAGCCAAGCTGTCCTGGCAGGAGAACACCTGCCAGTCCACTTTCAAAAAACAAACAAACAAACAAAACTCTCCCGATAGCCTGCCTCTCAGTCCAGTCCAGTCCCCAGCGAGACCAGTGAGGCCAATGCATCTCTCAGTTCTCCCAGGCTTGCAACCACAGAGTCTGCAGTTGAACCGGGCCCTATGTCTTTGTAACCCTCCCTGATAATGCAAGCCGGCAAGCAGACAGGTCTCTGCCCAGTGTTTTGCTTAGACAGGGAGTGGGGGAGCTGCTGGCCCGTGCTGGTGACCACTGGGGTGGCTGGGTTCTCAGGCTCCTGTGGCAGACACCTCTGGTGTTGGTCTCAGACCGATGGCTCTGGTCCCCGGCCATAGAGGCAGCACCCGGGCCACCTGGCTGGGGGTGCTGGCCCCCGCCACCGCTTTGTCTACTCCGGTCCTCAATACCCCACTGACCTGCCGCTTTCTGGTGTTTCAGCGTCCGTCACAATCTCTGTTCTTTTAATTTCACAAATGCTGGATAACTGATGGATTAGTGCGCTGCTTCTCTATAGATCTGCCAGGATTTTCACCCACGAGTACGGGAAATAGAATCCGCTCTGTCCTACTCTGTTGCCATCTTCCCAGCACTCCATCCACGATCACAAAAATCTTAAATAGACCTCCAGTTCAGAAGTCCTTGAGCCTGCTCCTGCGCCTGCTTCTGCACCCGCTCTGCTGCTGCTGGTAGATTTTCCTGGTCAGCGACTCAGGCTCCAACTGTCATTGCAGACCCCTGCTCTCTGAGCCCTTTCCTGCACTCCAGACCAGTCCCACGGCTTTTTTTGACCAGTTCTTTATTATTGAATTAAACTGAAAAGTAAAATTTCAAGTGCAGTCTTCTTCTGATAAGTAAAGGTGTCGTTTTGGTATCACTTATAAAATTTTATCTGTATTTAATTTGCATGGTAAAATCTCTATTTAGCTACTAACAGCTAAACTTCAACCTTGTCTTTGCCAAAATTGCCATAAATTCTAATTATTGGTATTTGAATAAGCATTACATTGAGTAAGGTCAGTTTTTATTTTTTTAGTATAGTCTAGAAGTTGTGACTTTTGATGCTTAATATCGGGGAAGTATGCACCTATTTCATCACTTCCTTTCTTCCCTATCCCATTGAAATATCAACCCATTTACATGTCCCAATTCAAATACTTCCTCTTATGTGGAAACTTCTCCACCTACAGGTGTTTTTCCTTCATAAAACTCCTATTGTACTTAGTAATTATTCATTCATTTCACCTTATGAAATAATTATATAAAGTGAAAGATCATATTTAATACTTTTTTCTTTTTTCCATATAAATGTGCACAGTGCGAGACGTATTGAGTAATAGTAGCAGCAGCACTGACAATGGCAACAATAAGGTAAACTGAATAATAGTACCCTTAATACACAGTCCTGAAGTAGCTATTTCATTATACCCATTTTATAGCTGGTTGAACTTAGAAATAGAGATGGTAAGTAATTTGTCCAAGTTAGCTAGTAAGCTGAGAAGTTATTGAATGGAATAAGAAATCAGCCACTTAGAGTCTAGAATCTATATACCATGTTTAATAAATGCAAAATAAATATTTACTTAATGAACTGATTATTTAAATAAACACTCCAGACCTCACAGATCTCAATGAAAATATGCAGCTTACACTGGAGCTGCATATTTTTAGGAAGTATAGGAAGTATTTTAGTTTAAGTATAACTATAACATAATAATTCTGAAAAGAGCCTCTTTAAAACTAATGAAAGCATTTCCTAAGAACACAGCTTTGGAAATATTTTCAGTAACAGGCTCATCAGAATCATAGGTGACAACTCTGAAGGTAATACTCAGTTAAATTGAAGAACTTCTAATTTGTTTAATATCTCTTTTCTCCTGTTTCCTGCTGATATGGAACTGCATTCCCTTTCATAGTAATACAGTCCACTAGCTCTCTTAACTCCTACCTATGTACAGAGGCAGCCAACTTCTGGTTAGAGTAGGACAGATCTGGGGATTAGAAAATCCTTTGCTTTATCTCTAACTTCTAAGGTAGTTTAGTATAAGGAAAAGAGTAAATTCAGATCAACTCAAAATTTACATTATTATAGCCTCTTTCTTTCTACCCTTTTGAAGTTAATTTGTCTATCACTTTTTATCATGCATCTTGATCTACCACCATCCCTGGGACATGTCTTTCTTTTACTCAGATGACTGCATTCTTTTCCTCCCATGCCCCTGTATAGCCAAATACAGTTGAGTATCTGTGTGCTCAGACTTTGGAGCCAGTCTGCTTAGATTTAAAACCTGCTTCTACTACCTACTGGCAATGTGACCTATCTGTGTTTTGTTTCCTCATTATAGAAGTAATGATGGCACTAATTCCAAGAGTAGCTATGACAATTAAATGAGTTAATACATATCAAATATATAGAACATTACTTGTCATGAGGTGTAGGTACTTAGTATTATCTGTTGTTATCATCATCATCATTTGATTGGTAGAATCCTGTACTTCTTTAAGGTTCTAACATTTCACAACTTCTTTGTAGCTTTCTTAGAGGCCCACTGTTCAAGGCTGACTTGGGCTCTTGTTTTATGCTGCTACATTTTATGCTCACTCTGCTATTTTAATAATTAGCACAGTATGTCTTATTAATTGAACATTCATGTTTCTTGATAATTATAAGTGCATTGAGGTCAAATGTAAATGTGAAGAAACACCCAAGATGTACACATTTTGTACTATGTCAAAAATTATTTTGGATTATCACCCGTATGAATAGTGTGGGAAATATTTTTAGTCACTCCTAATGTTGAAGAAGCTGAGGGCTTATTTCTTCATCTAAGAGATGTCTTAAAATATTTTTAAGCTTCTTTTGTTATTCAGAGTTTATTGGAAAGAACAATTCTTTTATGATCTCTAAAAAAGAAAGTGTTGGTAGTTTACTCTATGTGTTTCTAGTATGTAGTAAAGTATACGTAGACTATGGTACTATATGTATTTCCAAGCTGATATTTGAATGTTGTATAATTTTTAAAAAATTTTGTAAAGTATTTGCTTTTTTCTGACTCAGATTGGTCATCTTCAAATCAGACCAAATTGATTAGGTTCTACTTGATTTATAAAAGAGTATCAGTAATATCCATCACTAGTCCCTGTTAGTAAAACTGGAAGGAAATACAGGCTATACATTTTGTTATTATTTATTTTATTTTTCCATTTTTAATGCAGTTGGAGTAGAATAACAAAGTAACCTGAACACTAATATGGTTTCACAGTTTACTTTTAAATAAATATGTCTCTTATAATAGTAACTATGTGCCACTATCTTGAAAATTTTATTTTAATTATCCTATTTGTGAGGTTGTAAATATTTGCTTTTGTACATTAAAAATAGACCACAAAATGTGTTTGTACCTAATAACTAGTTAACAGATCTTTCTTTTCCTTAAAAATGTTTTTAAAAAATGCTTAAATACTATATAATTCTAAGTACACTGCAACTCTTAAAAAACAGATGTCATTGAAAACTCAAATATACATTCTTCTTACCACATTTCTCAATATGATGACAATAGTAAGTCTAGGAAGTGTATTTTTCCTTTTTCTATAGTTTATTCCTGGATGGCTAATCAAGGATATATTAAAATGTTTATTCTAATGAACCATATCTCAGATATCAGTAGTGGCAAATGTTTCTATTGTTTCTGAGGGATCTTGGTTTTATTGGCAATAGGAGATAATTAATTGGCACATCTTTTTAATTATTTTAAACAGGACAGAGATTCCTTCTTCCATCAGATGTCTTTTTGCTTGACTGAACTGCACCTGTGGTCTTTGAAGAATACCTTACACATTGCGGGTAACTGAGCTCTGGATTAATTTCAATATTTTTTAAATACGAGTTACAACATTATAAATAAATACTAACAAAAGTTACAGCCTAGATTCTCTAGCTGGAGTTGCATTATTTTCTTTTTACTTAATGAAAAATTGGCAAATGGAAAATAATTCTTTTTAGTTACTCTGATTAACTTATTTTCAGCTTGAGTTAGATTTTCTGTTGTGAAAATTAATCTTATTGGCCTAATGTTTGTTTCCTCTCGAGATATATCCATGTTAAATTTTTCTGAATTGTTTATAATAACTGGTTTATATTTGTAAGTATTTGTGGGCTACATAATGGTAAAGGCTTTTGTATTTGATATTAAGATAGTATTTCAAACATTCAGCTAAGACATGCAATTAATTATATTCATATTCTTTACACTTCACTTTTTTTTGTGGGGGGAGGAGTAATAGTGTGTTCTAATAGTGCCAAGGTGTGCTTTACGTGTGCTCTTTGCTCCCAGGTGCTCTTAGTAGGCAGAGCTTAGAGAATATATGTATGTATGTATACACTCATATTTATATCCACAGTTATTTTTGTATGTAACTCTTTATATTGGAAACCATGAGTCCAGCTCTGGCTGGATGTCTCTGTTGGTTGGGGTGTCATCCCATACATTATTAAAAGATTGTGAGTTTGATTCCTGTTCAGGGTATATACCCAGGTTGCTGATTTGATCCCTGGTCAGGGTGCATGTGGGAGGCAACCAATCAATGTTTCTCTCTCTCAATCTCTCTCTCTCTTTTTCCCCTCCTCTTCCCTCCCTCTCCCTATCTCCCCGCCTGCCCCTCTCCCATACTCTCTCTCTTCCCCTCCCTTTCTCCCTAAAATCAATAAACATATCCTCTGGTGAAGATGAAAAAAAACCCATGAATTCACATCAGTACCTCCAATACTGTGTTTCCTTCCTTTCTGTATTTGTACTCTCTTTGCAGACAGTGGGAGAGCTGGGGCTCCCATCTTTGTTGACTTAATTTAATCATTCTCCTGTCTCTGTGGCCATTCCCTCCGCTGAATGGATGCCCTCATCCCACGTGGATTCTGTCACGCCATGTTGGGCTGCCCCCATTTATGGATGTTCTTTTCACTTTGTTCACCCTGTAACACCCCACACTAGGCCACTGTCCCATGTGAATATCCTTCTCACCCTGCTAGGGTTCTAACACACCATGTCAGGCCAGCTCTCTGCATGTACACCTTTCCCATCCAGCTTAGGCTCTGACACCCCATGCTGGGTAGGTCTCTGTATGTGGATACCCTCCTTATTCTGCACAGATTTTGGCACCCCACTTGTGCACAGAATTCTGGACCCCTTATGTTCTTCAAAGTACTAAAGTAGAGTTGTAAATATTTGGATGCATGGAATGATGGAGTATTATAAAAGTATAACATGTATTGAAAAGTGTAAAAATTATAAGGACATGTTTTTGAACTGTCAGAAGTGAGCACACTGATAAAATTATATCACCCAGGTGAAGAAATGAAATATTAGCAGTATCTTAGGATCCCTACTCCTGACCTTTCCCAATCACTACTTATTAGGTATTTTTAGTCTATTAGAAATAAAATGCATTCTTTATATTTTCAGTTAATAACATAATAAATAAAATAGAGCTTCAGTAAATATACATGATTGACTCTTTTGAAAACTGTATTTAAAAAGTTAATTTTAGGTGTAATACATTTTGAAGTTTCATCTTTCAATTTGAGAAAGTTTGGAGCAGTCAGTCACTAGGGGGCAGCCTGTACTGCTTCCACTTATATCCTTTTGTTAGTAACTGGAGTTAACTTTACATGGAAGGAAACAAATGTTACTTCAAAGAAAAATATTTCACTATCCGCAGATAGGAAGAAAATGGACACGGTTATTTTGTTATCCTGTAATTAAATCGTAAGAACAGATCTCTTGATTAAATCACTCTCAACATCTAGGAATCCTAGCTTTGCTGCTTTTTTAGTCCCGTCAGAGCATCCGACTTTGAATGGGTTTGGAAGGTTTTCTTAGTCTAAACAGCTTCAGATAATTTATCCATACCTTACTCTAATCCTCTCTTTCTTTCCTACAGATTCCCCACCAAACACCCTACCAGACTTGAGCTAAACAAGAGAAAAGAAAGCCACAGCTCAGAATTCAACAGTTAGGGCATTTTCTTCCACCCACTGATTTCATTTGGCATTGCTTAGTGGCAATTCCCTTTTGGTAGCACCCTGGGAAAAATATCAGAGGAAGTGTGAAAGAAAAGGTAGTCTTCCCTTGATTTCAGTTCTTTGCTACTCCTTTCCTCATGCCATTAGAGTTCTGTGTAAATCTTTTCTAATTAGATTGATAAGGCTTCCAGTGTCCCTATAATACATGAATCCATGTCTAGATATTTTTAGACCATTTTATTTCTAGTACATAAAGACACTGTTTTTGTCCTCCTCCCTGCCTGTACTCCCACCCTGTCATATAATCTGGTTTGGTTTCTTATTCTCCAGAACTTTTTACCATAATCTAATGTTATTTTTTCCTTTCTATAGATACAGATATTGGGATATACCAGTATTATGACAAGAATGATCAACCAGGTAAAGTATTAACTGTCCTGCTCAGCTAATTTTTATAAACTAAATACTCTAAATTGTAAGGTACTGACCATTAATAAATTATAGAATTAAGAAAAGTCACTTGGTTCTTTAGAAAAATGCTAAAGTTGATATCTATTTTATATAAAATAAAACAATATTGATATAATGCTGGAGAAGAATATGAAAATTTTCATTTTACTGCTGATCAGACTGATAGCTGGACAGACTGTTCACGTTTATTTATCAGCATCCCAGTAGAGGGCATTGTTAATGCGTGGGTTGTGCTGGACCCTCACCTGGTATCTGAAATAGGCATTTCTGAGTGAATGATCAATTTTCTTTATCTGATTAATCCTGTTAATCCCATAAGTTTTTGATGGGCCAAAAGGTCTTTCTAGCTAGAGTTACTTCCTGTTTTGGTCTCTGTTGAAGTGGGGATTGTGTGGGCATCTTGTGTGCTTAGCTTGGTGGTTCATAGGCTGACTTCATGGTTCTGATGACAGACTGAAACAGCTTCTGTTCTGGGCTCAATTGCAGGTCCCTTCCATATCTGATGAGACCGCAAGCTCAGGAGGATATTGGCCCACCTGTTGGGCTACATAAGCCTTTTCACTGCAAATTTAGGAAATAACTCTGTGAAATTAAAACATCCAAATTGTGGCCTTTTTTCAATTGCCTTTTAAAAGGTTTAGCATAATTTATTAATCTCAGTGATGTGTATAATAATCATATATGTGTATATAAAATATTATAATAAAAATAATTTCTACTTTTTTTCCTTCTTTCCAACTCTCTACCACAATGTCAGCAACAGAGCATGGTAACTTAGAAGAAAAGCAGAAACTGGCAGAATGTAAGCTTACTTTATATATTTTACAGAATCATTATAAAACTGAAATTTTAATAGCCTTAAAGATTCAGTTTTAAAAATATTTTAAGCTTTCTGCACAAGTAAGAAATCTTATTTCTTCTAAAATTTTTATAATTATTAATTTTCATTTTTTAGGTATATATACTTATAAGAATCGTATTTGTTAGGCACTTCTAATTTAGACTGTTGAAATCTCTTAGTTTTTATATGCTTATGTAAACATAAACTTTCTTAGTGAATATGTATATTATTTAATGTATTTACAATAAGTATATCATGCTTAAATTCTGATAACATTTTATTATTTGTCCTATGACTAAATCATTGTTTTACCCATTTTAAGAAAATAAGATTTGTAATGATCAGTATTAGCATTTTATTCTCTTTAGTCTTCTGTTCTAAAATATATAAATATGTTAATGTGATATTACTACAATGTAATATGATTCTAATGGCTTAAATATAATTTATGTTTTATTTAGAATATAGGTAGAGCTAAAAAATCCTACTTGTTCTCGTTTTATATGGTCAAGCTAACATTTCATATTTTTAAATGATGTATTAGTAGTAGTAATGTTGATTTTAAAATTTATACATATGATCTATAGGTCATAAATTATGTTTATAAAATAAAATTAATTTGCTGAAGTAAGATGTATAACAATTATGCTGTAGAATTTTAATGTCTATATATTAATGCTATATATTATATGTATACACACAGAAAACAAACACATACACACATATATAGAACTCATTTAAATTATTATTTAGGTGAATTCAAAGATTTGTGATGAAAGATATTATAATCAATTTAATGTTTTGTTAATTTTTTAAACAAAACTAGTTTGACAAGCTGATGTTGAGACTCTACTAAATAATTTTATTTTTAATTAAATGTATTTAAAGCACAACAGAGTTTATCAGTATTGAATTGTGATGTAGATTTTAAAGAGCATTATTTTACATAGAAAAAGGAGCACTATTAGTGTATAACTTATTAAAACTTGGATTTTCACAAATTTTTTCTTTAGTCTTAATATGTGATAATACTGTATTATTTAATTTAAAGTTTATTTTTCTGTGTTTCATTTTTTGTATTTTACTTCTTTTCTCACTATATTTACTCATTAGGAATTTTCAGGTCTGAGAAGGCTACTTGTGAATTTTGGAATTTTTTTGGATTGAACATTTAATTATTTATATGAGAACGTTATTTTTTATTATAGAGTGGATCATTTACCTTTAAATACTAGGTTCACAGGCCTAGGAAACTCTCCCAGGGATTCTCTGAGACTTGTTGGTTGTCATCATAAAATTATGATCAGGGAGATTGTTTTGTGGTAAAAATTCTGTTTCAATGACAAAGTCTTTCAAAATGCTGTCATTTGATGATGGAAATGAAGTCCACTTCCTCTCAATTAAAGAGGTGTTTTATTTTAATCTTCCTTAGGCACACTACTAAGAAGAGTTTCCTTTTTAAGTCATGTTTAACTAACTGTAGTACATGTTTTATTTGCCAGCACGAGATTATCCGTGGACTCTCAAAAACAGACGCCCAGAAAAACTTAGAGACTCACTGAAGGAGCTGGAGGTATCTTTTCCAAAAGTTTCAAAAATGGCAACAAACAAATCTGTTTTAAGACATCTTTCAACAGCTTTAATTTTCATAAAGGATCAACTCTCCTGGTGATGATAGCTTTGCTTTTGTCCAGTGAGGAGTTTCAAAACAGTTGCATCTTTGTGTGGCATGCTGATTTTTTTTTTCTGCTTGCAAATCAGAGGCACTTTAACTGATAACAACAATGTGTAGAGCCAACTGCACTCTCTCTTTTTATGTTTCCTTCAGGAGCTGATGCAAAACAGTCAGTGTGTGCTGAGCAAATGGAAGAACAAATATGTCTGTCAGGTAAAATGGTTTGACGGGCTTTCGCAGTGTTTAACCAATGGAGCTGAAAACTATGCAGTAATTGGTATTCTTATGTTATGATAGGTAATGGACAAAAACTTTTTAAGAGTGGATATTTCATAGTTTGAATTCTAGTCATTCTAAAACTAACATTAGATAGATTGACATAGGCCACCAGGCTACCTCATTAATCAGTAGTCATACTGACACATTATAAACACTAATAAAAATGTTTTCAGATGGTATTTTTAGTTTGGAATTGTCTGGATGTTGTATTAGATATATACTGGCATAGATTTAATCGTATTTTTGAGTGAAGAGAAAGCCATAGGACAAAAGGTTTTTTTGGCATACCACTCAAACATTTGTGAATTCCATGCTTATGGAAATCAACAAACATTTTAGTTAGACCTAACATAATAAGACATTTGCTCTTACTCTTTGAAGATTCTAAGCTGTGCTGCTTAATGTGGTAGCCACTAGTCACCTATGGCTACATTTAAATATAATTTAAATTAATTAAAATTAAATAAAGTAAAAATTTTATTTCCTCAGTTGTACTACCCACATTTGTAGTGTTCAGTAGTCACATGTTAGTCACATGGGCAGCCTAGATACAGAATATTTCCATCACAGAAATTTCTATTGCACAGCAGTATCAGGGCCTAGACAAGGAGTTATTTGTTGAGTGAAACTAGATTCAGGGCATAATCATAATAATTAGTGTCCACTGATCACAAAATAATGGACAAATGTCTTAGCTTTGCTGATAGACTTAAAAAATACTATTTGCCTAGAAAAATTTACTTGCTTGTGACAGAAGGAATCATTAGTCATGTTTTATAGATACATGTAATTGAAGTCACATCAGTCCTACTAATAATTATAACTTTTATGGAATTGAATATCCTGTGTCTATTTAAATTCTTACTTGTTTATAATGGGACTTTTTTAAAGTCTATCATTTAGTGGACTCTCATTTTTCCTTGTTTTTTGTTTAAACTCATCTACCTTTATTCATGAAGGTAACTAGTTTCCTCCTCAACTGTCATAAATTATTACTTTCCAGAGACTGCTTAATATTTTCAGAACCATAATACTTCTTAAATATAGCTTAGGATACTATTTAAGAGAATGGCATTATTTAAAAATTCATAATTTGTTTTCATGAAAGTTATAATCAGACTTTAAAACTTGAATCCGTATTTGCTCCAGAAAGTTTTAAAGTTAGTGTAACTCAAATTGTACTTCTCAATACCATTACTCACCCTAAAAGCAGGCACAGAATTATTTGACTGGCGGGCATGCCTACCACCTATAGTATGAGGTGTGTCTCATAGCCTCCACCCTCACGATCACACTGGGTAAGTTGGAACATGTCAGGCATCTTAAAATATGCAGTGGAGCACCCCAAAAGGCAATCTGTTTTAAGTAGACTTTATTGCACTTTAATTTAATGAGCAAGTTTGTGTGTATGTATATGTGAGGGAGTAAGGACAGGAATGTCCCTCACTAGTGAGTTAATTCAACACAAAAAAGGAATTTACATGATAAAATATATACAGAATTACTTTGGTAATTTACAGTGACCTGACAATACTGTTTTCTTAGGCTGTTATACAAATGAGTCTGCTTTTAATTTCCAGTGGAACTTAGCATTTTTTATATTTTCATATTTTGTGCTTTATTTCTATGATTGATAAGATAGTCCTAAAATAGATCTTTTACTGCCAGCACATTTTTGATGGGATATATTTTAACAAGCTAACTCTACCTCCAGCTTGCCCACAGGTCCAGGTTAGTCCCCACATCTTAGGGCCTTTGAGACACCACTTAACATGATTCATCTACTTCCTCAGTTTCTAGACAGGACTGTTAACTAGGTCTTCTAAAAATATGTGTATATGTCTTTTCCTACAGACATCTCTAATGTCACAGTAAATTAAAAATTGGTGCACAAGCTAAATGTTTAGAAGCATTCCCTTAACCCTTTCTGAGTTGCAAAATTAGTAAACCACTTCCACAAAGCTCTCTTAGGGTTTCTCTTTTGTGTATCACTCAGCATGGTGGCTCTAAAAATACATGTGCCTAAATTTCTATTAGTAATTTCCCTCATATATTTAGCCCTAAAATGGTACCAGTTAACCATAATATAATGTTCTTTATCCTTTACAAAAGGAGTGCAAAAAGTTTCTCAGTATTGGTGCTTAGTTGAACCTCAGTCTTTGATTGTGGCTCTTCCTAAACTAATATAAATCTATTATCTCCCTCCAACCCTTGCCACTGGAGCCATGGCAAATTTAGGATTTATGGAATTTGTATTGATGTCTTCTTCTTGAGGCATCCTTATTTCTCCAGAAAGTCAGTGGTTTAGAAATCAGGAAGGCAACTGCAGCAACATAAAGGATTTTAGAATATGCAGTCTGAGCTTAGATTTTTCCCTCTGTTGAATAATGAGTTTTATAGGTTGTCATCATTACCAGATTTAGCTCATGTTGTTAACTTAATGACCTATAAATTGTAATACTTTAAAAATAATTCTCTCCACTTATGAATTTGGAACATTCCAGACAGGGGTATCCAACCTTTTAGCATCTCTAGTTCACACTGGAAGAATTGTTGTCTTGGGCCACACATTAAACACATAAACACTAATGAAAACTTATGAACAAAGAAAAGATTTTAAGTAAATTTATGATTTTGTGGTGGGCGCATGTGGCCTATGGGCCACAAGTTGGACACCCCTGAAGATTTTTATCTATACATATGTTTTGAATGAAAATTGTGTTTTGAAGTTGGTATTTTAGACTATGCCTAATCCTAATTTAAAAGTGTGAAATGTAATTTAAAGTTTAGTTTTACTGGTAATCAAATATATTTCTAATTGTTTTTTAGCCTCCTATCATGATTTTATTATGAAAAAGCATTTAATAATTTCCTGCTTTGAATTTCTTAAAACATTTAACAAATTATTCTCAGGGAATAATAGTTTCAGCATTATGACATTATTAAATTTATACCACTTTAAGTCACATCCATATTTGCAGATAGTTAAAAAGCAATGTTATCATTAAGACAGCTGTAACCTCACCTGTATTGATTTTAGAATAAATTATTTGAATTGTATACGTATATTTAACCATAAATGTACATAATAGAGTCAGCTGTACTCTGATTTCCTTTTTATAACAATTTTATGTTTCCAGGTACAAGTTTAAAATGCCAGGAAAAGATATATATATTTTTTAATTCTTGTAGTAAATTACTTAAAAGGCTATGTAAAAATGTAAGTTATTTTCAAAGCCTGTCACAGATAAATTGTGACCCTATGAAACCTTTTATCATAACCTTCTCAGTTGTAGAATGGATAGCATCATTACCTGGTCCTTCCTTCGTCAAATTGTGTGAAAATCCATTTGATTTCCTTATAAAATAATAATTGACAAATGTGGTTTTAAAGTTATAATTATTATTAATTTTATGTTATTTATACAAAACTGTTTACACAGACTTCATTGACTGCTATTGTTGTGGGAAGTACTAAGGAAGTATAAGGTGTGAGTTGAGTCCCCAGCAGATCTAGTCAAGGAAAACAAACGAATGCAATCACTAGGACATTAATGAGTAAAAAGAGAGTAAGAGTGTAGTGTAGAGATTAGTCTGGCAATAGGATGTAGCATAAAACATGAAAACCAGAGGCAGTTTGTGTAAAGAACAATTGATATGGGATAATATTTTCTTTAAACACCAAACTAGAGGTTTTCTGGACTGGAAAATAAGTTCAGTATAGAGTAGAGGTTAGGCAGTTAGACTGAAAATAAAGGGATTAAGTGAGAGTCTGTATCTACCATGGTGAGATCTTTCTCCTTCCTCAATTCAGCAGCGAGGCTTATGTTTCTATGTAACTTGTTGAGAGGACACTTCTCTGAAAACAAAATTACTCCCTTCAGAGCAAAGCCTATAGATATTGATATATTTGGTATTTCCCTTTGAGAAGGTAGATGTGCTGATCAACTTCTGTACAGGAAGCCCAAGCTAACAGACCTGCTGATGCACACCAAGCTCCCAGTCAATTTTTCAGAGACTCACTTTTAAGTATAACCAGAGAGGACTTCTGGCCAAGATGGAGGTGTAGATAGACACTCGTCACTTCCTCACACAACCATAAGAAGGATCACAGCTAATCTCAAAACAAAATACAACCAAAGTTGCCAGAAAATAGACCGGTATGGAAGTCTGACAACCAAGGATTTAAAGAAGAAATATTCATCCAGATGGGTAGGAGGGGCAGAGATGGGAGCAGGGATGTAGGGGATGTGGTGTGGTGGCTGCAAGATGGTGGCAGCAAGGCAGTGGTAGCAGTGACCCCCAGAACAAGTGGTCTCATATTCACCTGTTATGGATAAAAACTGAGCGGGACACCTGGGGAGCTAGCCATCCCAGCCCCAGGCCAGACCACGCAGTCCATGGTTCCAGCACTGGGAAAATCAAGCCTTATAATTTCTGACTGTAAAAACGAGTGGGGATTGGGGTAGCAGAAGAAACTGCCAGTCTCTCAGGAGAGTCTGTTTAAAGCAACCACATGGCTCTAGAATGTAGGCAAACCCACCCACTCTGGGATTTGGTACCAGGGCAGCAGCTAAAAGGGCACTAGTTGCATCTGGGAAATGGGAGAAGTAACTAGAAATGGGGCAAGAGCTGAGTAAGCAGCATTATTCCCTCTCAGACGCCTCTCCCATATACAGCACCACAGATCAGTGAAGCAGGTTGTCCCACCCTAGCAAATACCTAAGGCTTCCATCCTTTACAATGTAACAAGTGTGCCAAGACAGAGTCAAAGCAGCTCTATCCAATACATAGAAACAAACACAGGGAGGCTCCCAAATTGAAGGCAAAAAAAATATGGCCCAAGTGAAAGAACAGATCAAAACTCCAGAAAAAGAACTAAGCGAAATGGAGATAGCCAACCATCAGATGCAGAGTTCAAAACACTGGAGATA